CAGGTTTCCTAGTCGAGTGTCCTGCTAGAGCTCCTTTGACACTGATAAAGTCCATAATTGGTATGCACAGTGTACATTCCTGCCCAGACCAAGAAAGCAAGTGTGGAGACCAATAAAATCATTTGCATGGATCCAGTAACTAGAGAGACATGGCTCTTGAACTGGAACCCCAGCTAGGTGTGCATAGCTGTAACCCAGACTGGCCTTGCCTGAATATCAGATGATTTCCAGACTTACAAGGCAATGTCAGTGGTGCCAACAAGGTATGTCTGACAGGGCTTTTATTGCAGTATTGTTCATTTACTCAAGTGCATATAAGCAAATGTTCATTTCTTCCGAAACTCGCTCAACTCAACTCAGTGGTTGACAAAGATGAAAGCTGATGTACTGTAGAATTACAGTCTTATCATTCATTTTCTTTTTGTCAGTTTCCACCGTTCTTTTTATTCCTCCCTACTATTGAGGTTGCAGAAATACCTTCATAAACAGAGTAGGAAGACAAGGGCTGGAATTGATGGAGTAACGTACCAGAATGTTTATTTGTTGTAGCTCCAGAATGAAGTTTTATCCTGAGTGAAATACTCTCTTACACGCTCTGTTGGACTCTCTTCCATAATATAGCTGAGCAGACCAGTATGTTCCCTTCAGGATATACAGCTAGGTTTATTTTACAGCAAATTGTGAATGGAAGACTGTCCATTCTCTTGAGTCTGTGAATTAAATTGGGTTTGCTTGTTAATGGAAAATTCAGTAAAAGACTCTTAAAAAAAAAAAATGGGAGCGCAAGTAGTTTGTTTAGAGGCTGACAGTCAGCTGGGTGAAATCAGCAATTGAAGTAAGTGAATGGCAAAAAAGCCCTGTGCAATATTAATGGGTTTAGGAAAACCACTGGAAACAAAATGTTTATTACCTCTTTAAATGTATGTTTATATACAGCTTTAAGTGGTTCATCGCAGTCTGTACATGGAACACTTGTTTTTAATTTTGTGCTATCCAGAGAGCTGCAGTAAGAAGTCATTAATTTAAAAAATGACATTTTCAACCTGAATGATTGAAATCCAGATTAGCTACTCAGAGGGAGAATAGAGAGGAGATTTTATTGTGTACAACCTGAGCCATCTGTATGAAGTGCTGCTGCTGATGTTTTGGTTCTTAGAAAAAAATAACTTGTCGTATTGAGAATACCATCTAGCCCTTCTGAGATGACGGGATGGAATTTCACAGTCTTATTTTATGCAGTGTTAAAGACAGCTTCTCGATACATCTGTGCTGAAGTACAGGTTCCATTTTGTTTTGGGGCACCTGTGCCCTTTCACACAGTGCTCCTTGCAGTCACAGTGGGCAAGGTGGAACCCACATCACGACTTGGGCAAATTCAGGTATAAGGCAGAAAAATGAGATTTTTTTTTCACTTTTTTTTTTCTTTTCTTTTTTTTTTTTAATTAGTATTTCCAGAGAAAAGCCCTTGCAGTATGTGGAAGGGGGAAATGGGGGGTGAGAAGTCTGTGAGTCTGGATTGGGGCTGGGAGCGTGCTGGGACCAGTGGCACCTATGTGGCTGTGCAGCTCTCTAAAGACTGCGTAGTGCAGGGAGCCCTGTCAGGGTGGTGAGTTGTGCACTGCTGTAGATACCATGAGGGCTGTGATATTTATATCTCCTAAAGGAGGGAGCACTGCATTAAATGTAAAGCTGCCGTAAAAGAAATCTGTCTGCGGAGCTTACTAGGGTGAATAAAAGCTTCAGTAAGTCTCCTTAATATAAATTGACTTTGGTTGGAGTGTTGTTTTTATTTTTCTTCTGTAAGTTCAGGTTGCTGTCACTGTAAGTAGTCATGCATCCTAAACATTTGAACCGGTATTCATTTGCTGTTTCCCCGTCTGAGAACTGCTATCTGATCAAACCAATATTTTTTAATTATGCATTTACGGGCAGATGGGAGAACAGTTTACAGTCAATGTATGATCTTCTCTGCAAATCTTGGAAAATTGTGTTGTGGGTTTTTTTTTTTTTTTTTAATATTGCCTTATCAGTTTCTTTTTTTTTATTACTGATGACTTCATTCTGTTTGAATTCAATGCTTCAGTTTCTTTGGGGTAAACTAATAGATTATGTATGCGATATTTGCACAGTGCTGATTGAATTCATCTGGTGAGTTCGAATGTGGTTCATATATTCACATAATTGTCAGGAGCCAACTTGAAATTCAGAACTGTTTCATGAGCCATGCACAGGGCATCATATTCATCTCGCATTTCTCAGGAGTGGGTAAAACTTTCATGGTAAGCTAGATATGCAGCTCTTTCAACAGCCAATGTCTTTTGCATTTGTGCTTATAAACGGTGATGGAGAAAAAAATTAGATGTGGCATTTTAACTGTTTCTTGAAAAAATGAAGCTGATGGCCCCTTCTGATCTGCAACCCCCACCATCCTATCAAATTCTGAACTTGCTGGCCAGTTCTGACCAGATTTGACAGATGACTAGATGTTCAAAAGATAGAAAGCGTGTAATCTTCATGAAAATGAGCAGCCTGCTTTGGGGGGCCCGGATGAATGCCTGTGCTGGGGAGAGGCTTTTCAGTGTGAACTCAGTCCCATCTCTGGACACTGGAGTACTCACAGGAGTGGAGCAGAGGAAATCAGGTTTCACAGAGCTGCTTGTTTCTACAGATGTTATGCTTTTCATGTGGTGCTATCTTCCATTCAAATGTTACTACTTATGCTCATAATGAGGTTCTGTACTTATTATGTGGTATAGGAGGGGTCACCCATGACGAAGCTGTATATACATATACATGTATACGTATAAAATATATATACATATAAATATATATACATAAAAAATCAGCTTGATTTCTACGTTAGATCCATACCTACTTGCTGGCTGGATGGGTCTAAGCAGAGGGAAGTTCATCTATGGGAGATCTGCAGTAAATGGAGCACAAGCTGCTGTTACTGTCTCTCACAATATTTGACATTTTGCTGGAATGAGTCAGTCACGTTCAAATTTCATTTAAAAAAAAAAAAAAAACACAAAAACTTACAGTATTTTCAGTTTACCCAAGTTTACTTAAGCCCAAATACCTGGAGGTAGAAGGGGGGGGTATGACCTTCAGGCCACCGGCCACAGATGCTGATTCCATTTGCAAAGAGCTGCAGGGAGCAGCTCAGCTCATCAAACTGGCCATGTTGTTGAGGATCTCAGCATTTCCTTCTCCTAGCTAAAGCAGCTTTAGGTAATGGTATTGGTAAAGCAACAGGAGCAGCATTGCATTTTGGGCCTTATCTGCATGCTACCAGCTATAATTAAAGTCTTTATCTATAGTCACAAGGGAAGTCTGGCAATTTCACAGGTATTGTATTGCTCACAGTGGGCCAAGCTTCACTGTTCACAAGTGATATCCCCCATTAGCTAGTCCTTAGTTTGAGTATTTTGCAAACTGGAGATGGTTTTCTGCTATTTGACAACAATTCATGGAAAGAATCATAGGGAAAAGGGAATGTACTGGTGATTTTTTTCAATACTCCACGATGCTTGTGCAAGCTTTCCGCACTGTCTCAGCAGATGATAAGAAAAATGTCCAATGTTCTGGAAGAGCTCAGTAAGTCAGCCAGAAAAGCTTGAAACCTCAGGGGCTTTGTAGAATAGAGGGGCTGGGTAGCTTGGGATCTGGGGAAGACAAGTAATTTAATCATTTGATTTTTTGTGGAAACACACTGGTGCTGCCAGGAAACACTTCCAGCCCTGCATACTCTGTTGCACTTGCACCCTACATGGGATTCCCCTCCATTCATAATTAGTTTCAAAAGTAATTTATCCACTATTCTAGATTGCTGTTTGCTATTAGAAAATACGTATTATTTAACTGATGGCTTTATGTCTAGTCTTCTCTATGTATTTTCCAAATTCAGTTTGCTATGCAGTACATACAAAAGGCTTACCTAGAATCTGGCCAGCTCTTAGTGGAGTACAGTGTGACAAGATGTTCTGTAGAGCTCAAGTGAATAAGTCTGTATTCTGTAGCCCCTTACAGGTGTGATGAAGCTGAGGTTAAGAGAATGTATGAATACGTGCTGCAACAACAGCAGTGTGAGTTTAAAGTTGCCACAAAGAAATTCTACAATTCCCTCTGAACATCAGTAAATGCTACTGAGCAACGCAGACAGTGTACTTTCCAGTAGCTAGAGTAGGGCTGGAAATAGGTCTGAGAAGCTTTTAATTTATTCATTTTCATGTGCCTGTATTTTATTTTACTAGAATTCCTAGGGATTTTCAGGATTGTTTTTTAATCCTTCTGATAAGCAACTCCACTAGCCTTTACCAAGGCAGCTTGCAGTGTATCCAGCGTAGAATTGAGTCTTTGTGAAGTTACTGATTAATTACTACCCTTAAAAAATGGTGTCAAAACTCAGTAGTGTGCTTTCCCATCTCTTTCGCCTCACCTCTGTATTCATGGCTGATGTTTTAGTTCTTACTATAGTTGGCAGCGAGGTTGTTTTTTATGAGATAAAACTTTTTTCTGTGCTTCTCCGTGAGTATTGTCTATTCTTTACCTTGAACAAATGTAATTTTAGGGAAATTCCACATTTAGCATGGGAGCAAAAGGGAACGTTTTCCTGGCAGCTTACCATCATCATTATTATTAAAATATGATAGCCATTTATAGCTGCTCATAGGAATGTTAAAAGTTTCCTTGTGCTCCCCCATCTGTCTGCATCCATCTGTTGTCTCTTGTCTTGTGCTGGAATTGTTAAGTTCTTTGGACAGGGACAGCCTTTTTTTAAAAAGGGGGATCAAATTCGCAATTAAGAGTTTTTTAATATGGGAAGGCAAAAATAGGGCTGATGTGAGCCAGCGGGCGCTATGGAAATTAAGAGTCCAATGTTCACAGTCCATTCGTATCAGGTGTGGGCATTGCATGCGCGCTCAAGTGGCTATCTGAACATTGTTTTAATTTGTGTAGATATAGGAGTTTAATTTAGCATCTTTTATCTTTCTCAGTGGCTGTGCAGGTGGTGGGAATGCTGACCGAATCCAGAAGCTAAGGAAGGAGTACCATCAGGCCAGGCGGGAGGGCTTGCCTTTCTATGAGGACGATGAAGGACGAACACAGCTGTCTGATTGCGACCACCGTTGGGTATGTCCACAGTATGCTGCACAGGGCTGTTGCATGTTCAGGGTTTGCAGAAGAAACTGATTTATTTGTATTTCTAGATATCCTGTGTCAGTTTATCATGAATTTGGGGGGCTTACGGAAATGGAGAAATGTTTAATGCCAACTCTTCTACCTCAAGCAAACACTGATAACATGAAAACTTGGCTGAGAATACTGTGTTTGTTTACTGCCTTGGTGTAGGTCCGGGCTTCCTCTCTCCTGAGGTCCAAGGTATGCAGTCTTTGCCAAACTTTGTCACATGTGATAGCATCAAGGCTTTTCAGCAGGTGTTTCCGTGGGTTAATGACAGCATTGGAAGAACAGACTCTCACTGTGCTTACCTGTGCAAAATGAGAGGGAGGAAGCACAGGCATGTCTACCCTGCCCTTCTTTCTGCTTGCAGGACAATAGCAATCTGGCTGTGATACATTCTCAGTCACTTCCGTAAGGTGAAAAATGGAATAATTTGCTCCTACTCCATCAAAAGATCTTAAAATATTTTACCACTATACTGTTATAGTGGTCAAATGTTACAGGCATACTGTATTCCTGATTACACACGTAGGACTCTCACTACACGAAGATGTGTTATCTACTCATTGCTGAAGTGTAACCTGTGGTAGAACGAGAAATTAAGTCAAGAGTGCTAGATTTTTTAATGTATTAAATAAATGCAACAGCTGTAGTCTATGGGATGACAATTATGGCACTCATGAGCTCCACCTGAACAGATTTCAGAGTTGGACTCTCTTTACAAGTAATTATAATCAACTAGCATTCAAAAATGATACGGTGCAATGTATGCTAAATTTGAAATTTGAGTTAAAAAAGAGGCACGATATATTAAAAATCTTAAAAATCTAAGTACACCTGGGCTTGGAGCTAACATTGTTTTTAATGGTACTCCAAACTATTGGTACAAAATCTGAAATGAAATCTTCAGTGATTGGGATTATAGACAAAGCAATACCTGTGTGACACTATAGACTTTATTGCAGTCACATAGATAAAGTTCAAAGGGGGCTGTGCTTGCGTAAATCGTTGTCCTTATTTGTCCATTAACCCCACTTCCCCCCCTCCCCAAGGAAAAAATATATATTATTCTGAATCAGTTGCTGAAAAATTCACTTTCAGTGAAGTAATTCTTTTCTTTGAGAGGTTAACTTCAATCTACTGCCTTAGATTGTGTGACCTGAATTTGTCATTCTTCTTCTGAATAGCTTTTGTAAACTGAACTGAGAACCTGGACTGGCCTAGTGGTACCTCTTCAGCAGACTGAGGTTTTTTTACTGCTTATCTGAAACTGATAAAGCTTTATTAATCCTCAGAGAAGGCTGATGTTTATGGCCCAGTGTAGTTTCCTAAGATTCATAAAGGTTTCTTCCAGGTAATCCTTTTTAAGCCTTTCCTATTAGGTATAATACCCCAAGATTACTGATTTCCAAAGCCTTACTTTTCCTATGAGGCAAGTTGTCCTTAATCAGAGCAGCTGAAAGGGAGCTTTGAGTATCTCAATCTTGAACTGATTAATAATAGTGGCACTAGGATTGTTTCTTTTAGTCCTTCAAATACAGAATATTTTTAAACATTTTTTGTTGTGAGGAATTGCAGTCTGCTTAAAAATCGGAGTTTACCTCAAGGGCTTTAATGCACTGAAGTTTGTTGCTGCAAGTTTCTCTCCTTGAAGTGGTTTACAAATTTCAAAGACTTCTGGTCTCATCATTGCAACAATATCATCCATTGATCCTCCCAGCCAGGCTTTCACAGGCAGTCTTTTGGTCTCTATAATACTGTGACCACAGCTTGTTCTCTTCTGACTCCTGGCTGATATTTCTTCAGTTCTACTCCTACATGTGATTTTACCCTTAAAATACATGTTACATCAATCCTTTCAAACAAAAACAAAGGATAAAAATTAGGATCTAAATATTCAAAGTAAAACAAATGTCTCAAAGCATCTTGCTTGGAGAGTCCTCAAGATATTTTGTAAGCAATGTCATGTCACCCGCCTCGGGCTGCTGACCCTGAGAAGCACAGTGTGATACAGACAGAACACCAGCTGATTTTTTCCATCTTTATTCAATCAGTGAAGAAACACGTTGATGACTAATTGCATAATTGTAAATAAAAACTTCAGGACATCAGATCTTTCTTTAAAGAATCAGTAGACAGCTGGAGAGGAGGAAAACCTTCTGGTACAGGTTTTTCTTGCTTCACACAGGAGGCAATGTCACCAGGGAAGCTGCAGCTGGAAAGGAGATCCTGGATCTCTGTATATATTTTTAATACTCAATTCGTTCATTCTTTGTTTTTATCTGTCAATTGTATTACCTAAGCCAGCTTTTCTGTATGATTTCTTTCTAATGTACAGCAGCTGCTGTAATCACTACTCACCATCTCACAAAACATGCAGATAAGTTGGGAAATAACAGAGGATAATTTCAGAAGACGCTATCCTGTCACAAATCAGCAGCCTCAGAAATGGTCGCTGGGTCTTGTCCTCCAAAAAAGTATTTGAGAACTCACGGGGCAAATCTCCATCTGATAAAGCTGACGTTGACAAGTGGCCTTTAGCTGACACTGTAATGGGACAGAATTTCTAATAGAACGGGTATTTCTAACAATCTACTTTTTTTTTTTTAAGTGGGATAAATCAAGTTAAACTGCAAAGCTGACTAAAAAGCCAGCATTGTAAGGCAAAATGATCTCATGACAGGCAATTGGGATCCATAAATGTTTAAAAATAAGGTCAAAAATTCATTCTAAATAGGACTGCTATTCTCTCATCATCCATTCTCCCACCATGTATCCATTTTCCAGTCCTCTTCTGTTCCTCTCATCTGTTGCTGGATGAATTTTTTGCTCTCTTGCGCCTTCATTCTGCTCTCCCTTCCCCACAGTCTGTTCTTTTTCTAAGTAAGTGAATAATTCAGTTTCGTGTGTCTCCATAAACAGACACGTGTATACAGCACTGTCTGTGCTATACAGTCAGATCCTTCAAAATTCATTTCCACTTTCTTTGTGCTTTGGTTTGTTGCTAAGTTTTGCATCCTTTGGACTCCTTTGCACCCGCTTCCCCCTCAACCCCTCACCCTGCCCCCCTCCCCCGCCTTGTTTTTCATATTTACAACTAGAAAAATGATAGGCAGAGTGGATCACAGGGCTTAAAGTAAGCCCCAGCTAGATCTAGTTGACCGAAGGGTAGGGTGAGGGTCAGTGTAAATGCTGTTTGGGGAAAAGGATACCTGTTGTTGTCAGTTGTGAGATTGCCCTAAAATTTTCTGACGCTTAGGATGTCTTTTGGAAAGCAATCACCTGAAGACAGAGTTCAGATGTGTGTACATGTTGATGTCTTAGCAGAACATAAATAGTGAAAGCAATCATGAAAATATTCTATAGAAATCTAATCCTAAATCCATTGGGACTACAGGAAAAAAAGCTTAATATGTCTGTATATGTATTACTGGATACTGCAGTATCAGTGAAATGCTGAGAGAACTAGAGTAAGCTGCAGAAATGCAGGCAATCTCCCTAGGAGTTGGAAATTCTTTTCATGAAACAGTTTCTTTCAGGGATTTGTAGTCATAGTGTAGTAACAGATCATGAGAAGTAGAGAAGGAGATGTCAAGATAAGCTACAAAGTATGCATGTACTCTTCTATTTAAGAACATTTAAATAATGAGGAATTAATCGTGTATTTGAGGATTTAGTTGGATTGTCTTACAGACTTTGTACAAATCCAGTTATTTAACATCAATTCTTTCCTTCAGGGTGGCAGTAAATTCTTGAAATTCTATCCTTATTGTGTACATTCGAGCAGTACGAGTAACACAGGCCACACTGCAAATAATTCTCCACCTGTTAGTGGCCACATCAGCTTCATTGTTCTAAACTACATATTAAGTGGCTCTAAGAGTTGCTTTTTTATTTGCAAATCAGGTTTGTAAGTTGATAAGTAGCCTAAAGATGTAAGAAAATCTGCCTCTGGATTCTGGCTGTGAACATCTTGATTGAAACAAATCTGTAATGTACTGAGTTTTGTCAGTTCCCAGTTGAGAGTACAAAAGAAGAATTCTGCCTGTCTGTGTAAAGGCCAACTACTTCACTGTGGCAGGAAGCCAAGCCTAAGAATCAAACAGAAGAAAAAAAAAAAAAAAAGAAAAAAGAAAGGAATGTTTAGGACTGTATTATTTTTCCATAATGTGTCAAGGGGTTCTGTGCTTATGTTCAGGATGAATAAGGATTTGTTTGTACTTTTCGTGATCAATTCATTCCAAGTTCAGGATGCTGCATGTCTAATAGGTTGGGTTCCCAAATCACACTAACATTTGTGTTGGATCATGGTTAGAAACCAAAATTCCAGTTTCCAAAATAACAACATTCCTGTCTTCTAGTGCAATGGGAGAAGTGATAATTTTATGTACTTTGTGAAACCATATAGCAGAAACTGCTGTGAATTCAAGACTTTGAGCCCACAGACTATTAGTAAAAACATCAAATTAAAAAAATGAAAGAAAAAAAGAAAGAAAAAGACAATGACTTAGGATGTAATTGCTTTGAAAATTCTGGATCAGAAGTATTTGAGTATATGTTTTTACAACATATTAATTGACATGATCTGAAGTGCTTTATGAGGATGCACGATTAGCTCACCAATCAAAAACTTTTTATGCTCTCTACTTAACTCTGTGTGACAAAGGCTTCAGATTGGGTTGTATTCTAAAAAGCTGTTCTTAGGAAGCAGAGATGTTTTGAAATTTGCAGGCTGGATTTGAGGGTGGGTTCTGGGGGAAATTATTTTAGAGAAATCCCTGCCAAACCTCATGTGAAAAATAAACTATTCCAAATGGCACATGCAAGGGGAGCCAAACTCAGCTCCATTAATACTAGTAATAATGAGTGATTCTTATACTTGTTTGGAGTCATTCCTACTTACACAAAGGTTGAATTTGGCATAGTGAAGCTGAACCAGAGGGGAATCT